ATGATGGCGCGCCACTTGTTTTTTTTTTTTTGAAATCTGACTTAATTAATGATTCAGTGTTTTATTCACTAATGACCAGGATATGTACAGTGCGCCAGATCCCTTGGATTTGATTACTAACGCGTTTTGACTTTGATCCATTGGTCCACATCTTTTTAGTTTTTATTTTATTTTCTGATTTTTATATTTAATTGTTTTAAATTTCAAAAAATTATAGAAAATTCATTTTTAGTCCAAAAAATCTGAAAAAATTATGAAAAATATTTTTGGTTTTTATCTTTCTGATTTTTATTTTTTCACATTTTTATTTTGTGTTTTGATATTTTTTTTATAAATTTTCACTTTATTTGAATTGTTTTAAATGTTTAAAAATACTTTTATACATTTTTTAATTCTGAAAAAATTATGGAATGATCCAATGATATTGTGAAAAATATTGGCGACCTCATTTATTTTTTATTTCTGACTTTGTTATTTTTTTTTATCATTTTTGGTTTATTTTACCTATTTCTTTTAATTTTAAAAATAGTTTCTGAATTTAAAAAATTAACAAAAAATTTATAAAAATATTTGAGTCATTTTCTGATTTTTCTACGGTCTTACTTTTTATTTCTTGATTAATTTGAACATAGTTGATATTTTCCTCTTTTATTTCTATTTTAAAAAATATTTTAAAACCCTTTTAATGTATATTAAATGCAATATTATTTTGTGATTATTTTCTAGATGATCTTGGGTTGAATTTTTTATTATGAACTTTATTAACATCATTAGATCCATGGTGTTGAGTCTAACTCCATAAAAATGGATGAATGATTTTAATAATAATTTGATTAAAATTTAATTCAAATGTGGTTTGTATATTCTTCCTCACCCCTCTTCATCTCATCCCTTTCTTATTGCACTAAGTGTTATTGGAGCATGATCTCTATATCATGTCTCAAAACAAATGGTGCATATATTGCTATTGACCGACCTCAAAATAGGTGTGACTTCTATAGAAGTCCACTTACGATTGCTTAACATAGCGCTAAATTTTGTCCCGATTCGAATAAATGATCATTCGTGGCTCAAACCTATGTTTGCAAGCCCAAGTATGTTAATTTGATCTCTTTGATCCAATAACCTTGAGATTCATTGTGTGGAGGCTTTGGTTCTACCAATCCTCTAATAGATCCACATCACTTTTGGTCAATGCGGATCACTTAAACATCATTGATCATTAAATGGCACTTGTGAGGATTCCAAATGGATGATATATTTGACAAAAAGCAAATGAAACTTGTTGTGTGGAGGCTTTGGTTCTACCAATCCTCTAATGAGTTTCAAATGCAAGTTTCAAGATGGTTATCCAACTAACCACTAATTATTAATTTGTTTCACTTTATGCTTTTATTTTTTATGTTTTATGTACCATTTACTTTAAGAGTTACATTTCATGTCATTTGTATTTTGCTCACTTGAGCATTTATATCTTTGTTATCTTTATTTTGCTCATTTGAGCCTTTCTTTTCTTTTTTCAAGACACCTAATAATCAACATGAACCCTAAAAAGCTTTAATGATACTTGGACTATTTGGTTACTATCCTTGGTATTATGGAGTATTGGACTTCTTGGACTTAGGGTTAAAAATCTTGGCTTATGTTGGAGATCTTGTAACCTTAATTGATATTTTATCTGGAGCTCTTGAGGTTTACCTCAAGACATTGGGTTGTTTGTTTGTTTTGTGTGCAGGTTATTGCGATTACATACTTTGTTTGTAATTTGGAATTCACCCGTATACAACCGTTACTCTGCCCAATTTTTGTGAAGACTTAATACACTTGAAGTTTGGTTCTCTTAAGAGGTCTAGTATCTTTTCTTGCTTGGTTTCAATCTAAGGAATGAGAATTCTATCTTGACTCATAATGTCAAGTTTTGGCTTCTTGTTGGTTAGATGGTTCCTCTCCCTAGCTTTTACCTTATGCTTTAGGATAGTCTCTTCTTCTCCTCCCATTTTCTTTAATTTCAAAAAATCTTCTTCCTCCTTTTGAAAACTATTCTTGTTTTGAAACTTGAACCATTTCCATAATAAACTTGGACTTAGGTCCATGCATTTTCAAAATATTTTCATGAATAACCTCTAATCAACTTAATAATACCTTGACATTTTTTTTGTGAGAAGACTAAAAGTCAATCAATCTCATTTCAAACTATTTTGCCACTTTGGCTTTTACTTTAAACTTTTCTCAAAAGAATAGACTCTTGTCGATCCTTGTAGTGATGTAAACAATTATACTTCTACAATATGTAGTGAAGTGAGATATTTTCCACTTGGGTGTTGAGTGAGGCATTGTTAATTTTAAAATCCAAGCCATATCTTCCACTTTGAGATGATACAAATTCTCCTTTCTCATGATTGTGGGTAGTAAGTATGTTTTCCACACGGACAATGACGATGATGTCTTATCTCATAAAATAAACCAACATATTTGTGTTTTAAAATTTTCAAAAGAGGAACTATGTGTACCATGATCCCCTATTGCACGAAAGGTGGTACGTAGGCACTAAAGGTTCGCAACCGCGACGGGTGCAAAAATCATTAAAAAATACTTCTTTTCTCACCTCCGCCATCTATTTTACATACAACATTTTATAGCCAAAATATACAGATTTTTCAAAGAGGTTCCTACGGAGTACCGTAGATGTTTAGGATGCTAATACCTTCCCTTTGTATAACCAACCCCATTACCTTGAATCTTTCCCCCTCTATTTTGGGTTACTCGCTCTTTTCCCATTCCTTTGGAAATAATAAAGCGCAGTGGTGATTTTTATTTTTGATCTGTATAAGTCTAGTCAATCCAATGGCTTAGTCTTAAATATTTCTACCGCAACAGTCATGTAGCACGAAAATTAAAGACATTTTATTCGTGTGGACTGTGTAAAGGTGTTCTCATTTGTTCACTGCTCACGATTGTTCTATAGAATTAACATCAAGGGTTAATCACTATAAGAGGTAACCATCATATCACTGAATAGGTCCATTCATAAGGATTCACCAAAAGAAAGTTTTTGTTTTATGTTGCATATCTGATGATATTTTCCCTTCAATTGTTAGGACCATAAACCCTTGTCCTCGTCAAGATTCTTCTTTATTCCATATAGGATGGCCTTATTAGCTGACTTGATTTATCCTTTAGCTAAAGGGTTCACCATTGGGATAAAATTTGTTTGGACCATGAGTTGGTGACAGAATTTATCATGGTCGAGTTAGCAAACTAGTTTCCGTTAAACAATTTACATGGGCAATCCAAATGATGGACACGACTTTTGCCACATAAAAAAGGAGATTTCAATTGATTTGGTTATGCCATCGTTGTCGGGGAGATCCAGTCAAATTTTCCTAAATATTAACATGAATTATATGGACAAAACACTGCTAGAGTTGTTAGGCATGTTGAGAGATGTTAAGTTGAATCTGAAATCAAAAGGAAAGATTATTATCATGGTTAATAAAGGAAATTTCAATATGAAGAACAAAAGGTCAAACAATTAAGGTATTAAAGGGAAAGGCAACAAAGTTGTAAATCCCTTTGTCTCCCTTCTTCGTGTGAGTCAAGACCAGTGGAGTCGCCAAGAAATTATTTTGTGCTGACAAGGTCTTGTCACATTCCTCGGCCCATTCAAACTTCTCTTGGACAGGGCAAGAATTTGGACAAGGCATCCATGTGTCATGTCAACTATTGAACTACCTTCATTGTGGCAGGACTCCTCATATCAATGATGTTATATCACTTATCTGAATTTGCTTTTATTCTTCTCTCACTTACCATGAATCCTAAGAAATTTCCTGCTTGGACTCTGAATGAACACTTGGCGGGATTCACACACATGTTATAATTCCTGAGTCAATTTAGGATGTCATCCAGGTCATTGCAGTGTTTTTCCTCCTCTGAGATATTCATGGCCAAGTTGTATATATATAGACCTCGATATTTTTCCCAATCCAATTTGAAAAGACATCATTCATAAACCTTTGGTAAGTAACGCCTACATTCTTGAGGAATAAAGACATGACCTCATAGTAGTAATTTTAGTTATTTTACATGGAAGTTTGAGGAGCGTCTAGGGGGTCCATCTTAATTGGTTGTACCCGGAGTAGGCACCGTGAAGCTCAAGACCTTATACCCCTTATACCCTGACAACCTATTAATCAACTTGTGGATGTTAAGCAATAGATGAGGAACCTTAGGGCAATTGGGTTAAGGTCCGTGAAGTCTATGCACATCCTCCATTTCCTTGACACCTTTCTCACTAGCACCATATTTGCCAGCCAAAAGAGATATTTGATATATATTATAAAGTCAGCTTCTTTTAACTTTATGACCTCTTCATCAATGTGAATCATTTTTTTCCTCCCCTGGTAGATGGTGATGTTACCTTCCTGGTCTAGTGGATATTATAGTTTATTTTTTCCCTATATGTGTCTTGACACGTCCTTATGTGACTAGGAGTTGAAACACACTCAACTTGAGCGGATGATCCACGTCCAAAGCATATTGGGCCGGACTGGGCGACATCTCGTGCCCGCCGTGTGATTCCACCCTTTCACGCCCAATTTCTTCCCCTATTAAATAGGCCTGCCTTTTTAAGCCCCATGCAAAATTACTCCAGTTCATTATCATTTATCTTTCTCTCAAATTCTCAATGAATTTCACTCAAGAATACAATAGAAAAAACTTAAATAATTTATATAATAACCGAGGTGTTTGCAATGTGTTTCCTAAATCAAGAATCTCAAAACAAATAACTCTTTCTCATCTCAAAACTTACAATGATTTATAATAGTATCATCCTTCTAATACCTTAGACACAAGCATAATGCAATGCAACTCACGTGTTGAAAGACAAAGTAAAAGAACTAAACATGAACCTTAGTAATTATATGCAACTCTAAAATAGAAAATGAAGATTTCACATGAAACATTTACCTTTCTAAGTTTCTTACACAACAAGAAAATCAAGGAAAAACAGTATTAGAACTAGGAAACTTGCTCTTCTTAGACCAAAGCCATATCTTAGAAACAGAAAAACTCTCACCTTTGATTCTACTCCCTATCCTCTTCCCCTCCACATTCCCATTTTCATCTTCACAACAAGATTGAGACAAAACCACTTGCAAATTTGAATCACAAAACACATACTGATATGAACCCATTGAATAACATCTCCTTTCATCCAAACTATAACTACTAGTACTACCATCCTCCAATCCATTACTTCTGAATTTTCCAAGCTTCACAGAAAACACCCTTTTGTCACCTATTTGTTCCTCAATAATATTCTCTTTATCACCATTGACATTGAACCTATGTGACAGAACCAAAGAATCCTCAACAACGTTAACATTCTCCAAAGGGAAACTATTGTTAGAGATATTTGCTCTACAAAGAGGACAAGTAGAATTTGAGAGAAGCCATGTGTCAATACAATTCATATGAAATGCATGGCTGCATATAGGAACCAATCTCAGCTTATCCTGTTCAGAAAACTCACAGAGACACACAGCACAATCAAAAGGTTCCTTCAAACCCAATAAATCTTGGTAGTTGAAAACAGGAAGAGTGTTTATGAAAGCTTGGTCAAGACCTGAATCATGCAAGTGGAATAGGTGTTGTAGTTGCCTCTGAAGAGACCGCGTTCGGGTCGATTCTTGGAATCTGTTGGAATTATAATGAGATGAAGAGGATGGCCTTTTCATCAGTAACCATAAAACTAACTGGACAAGTCCATAGAGAAAAAAGATGATTGCTAATACTATTATAACTAACAAAATAAGTGGACTCATTTTGCTTATGGGTGAAGAAGTTGTTGTTTCTTTCGCAGTACTAATATTTCCGTCGTTAATCGTTTGCGACGCAAGAGGTGATTGAGGAGATGGAGATGCTGCCATTTGAGACAGTGTGTTTCTAAGAAAAGAAGCATAAAAAAATGTATGTTCTTTATGCAGATTTTGTAATAAGAACATTTCTCTTTTTTTATGTAGTTAAAATGATGAATGGAAGAGGAATGAATAGGGAACAAGATTATGTACACCACATCTAGTGCATTGACAATTTCATGCAACTGTTACATTTTGACTTGTATGTGGAACAAGAAAGCTACAAGAGCAAAAACAAAACAAAAGAAAAAAACCAAATGATTGAAATGTTGACTTATGTAACACAGCATGCTAAGTCTTAAACTCTAAAGCTGTTTATATTTGTTGGGTGGCTACTTTATAATAGAGTAAAATCATTGCAAATATTAGTGGCATGTAACATGCACCAGAATTCAAGCCATTCCTACATGATTGCACCAAAATTACTATTCATGGCTTAGAACAAAAACAAAAAAGACAAAACAAAACAAGATAAGTTTGTTCATACACTGTTAGTTTGCTACAATGTTCCTCCACAATTATAACATGAAAGCCAATGTTTTATACATGTAGGAAGTTTAGGGTTGGATATCTCACTTATTATAGTTAGAGTTGATATTCAAATAATAATATAGAAATAGTCTGTAAATGCTCCGACCAACCACAAGTTTGTGCCACTGCGATGACAAGATATTTTTTGCTTTGAGTATGAGAACTCATGATTTTGTTCTTTAGAAAAAGGTGTCTCGATGGATTGAAGAGTGTGGAGGTTGTATATAAATAACTCTTAGTCTTGATTCTCAAGCAATATTCCGCTCCTTTTAGCGTCAATATTCCGCTCGATCTAAAGTTTGTGCCACTGTGGCTATGATGTATTATTCGCTTTTAGTGTGAGAACCCTCACAACTTTGTCCTTTATAAAAGTTGTCTTGTTAGGTTGAGGAAGGTGGGTGTTATATATAAACTACTTTTAGCTTTGATTTTCAAACATTGTGAGACTACTTTGGTCAACCCGAAACAGTTGTCAAATGGTGAAATGAAGTCTTGGTACGGTGGAGCAAGCATCCAGCACGACAGAAAATGGGTGAACCTACAAGATTAACACTCTAATGTCCAAGTGAGTTACTAAGTGAAAAACAGTATGAAAGTGGGAATGAATTAAATACCTAAAATGGTACGAAATGATCATTATATATTATGGGCGGTTAAAACCGTTTGTGTGTGATTCATCATCTTGTGTGGTTTATCGTCTGATTAGATCCAACAATGAGAGATATGATGGGGGGGGGGGGGGGGGGTGATCATGTGTCCTTGGTAGGGGCGATGGTTCACCTGTTTCATGTTCCTTCTTTTTAACGCTTGTCATTGTACCCTTTTTGTGGGCCTTGCGGACGACCTGATACAGTTTTCCCCGAGCACTTATTCCTATGTTGTAGAGTGAGGGCTTTGTCGAGTTCGTCTTCAATCCGATCTATGGTGGAAGAAAACAAAATAGTTTCACTGAGAAGTTGGTGTCTTTGGGAAAAGGAGTATTAAATGTCTCTTTCATGATTACCAGTGTTTCGTGGGTACGTCGCAACATGTGTCCCTATATCTGACAATAATGATTATTTCTAGTACTATGGCATTTGAGTTCTCTTGAACAATGTGCTATGAAATCTTAATTATTGATGGTGCGGTTTGCACTTCCCAATATCAAGGATCGCATAGTTCCTCACCCTTGGGTGATATATAAAAAGAGTTTTGTAGCAACCATGTTTCCCTTTTCTCCATTTGTGAACCTTAGAAATCTCTTCTCCCGCTTCTGCAATCTCCTATATCGTCACCAATCTCCTATCATTAGCCAATGATTTGTGTTAGTGCCACCTTTTTTAGTATATCTTTTTGAGTTAACGTTCGAGTGTGAACACTCACTTCTTTTTGCACATGCTTACTTCATTAAGGTTTTTGGAGAGTCATGAGTTTTTTTCTTTCATCTTTGTGCACTAGTGAATTCTTTTTCTATAGATGGATTTGGCAGGTTGAAATGTTTGTCTTTATGTTGATCCTATACTTTTATTACAATCATTTCATCACTATGTTTGACAACTTCTTTTAACATGGGCAACTCTCAATTCAGAGTCTAGAGGGCGACGTGAGACAACTCTTTAGTGTGGGTGGATCAAGATACATTGGAAACTACTTCTAATTTCATAGGACAAGGCGCCCAAAGTATGATTTAACCAAAATGAGTCATTCCTTAAATTGGGAAGTGCTTCCTCTTAAAAGGGACAAGGTAATTTGTAGCAAATACGAAGAGGAAGTCATCCCTCTCCATAGTTTGTTTTATTTGAAAGGTTTTTGCCTCCCCTTTAACAATTTTGATGTGGGTGCTCTAAACCATATGGTAATTTCTCCTTCACAGTTTCACCCGTTGAGTTAGGTTATACAAAAGTCTTTCAGTACTGGTGCAAATACAAGAAGGTTTACATTCTTAGACAATACTCTTCCACCTATTCAAGGTTCAATAGAGTTTTGCTGATTTAGCCTGGAGTCGGATTCTGATCTCCCTTAGACAGAGTATGATATGTTTGAGGTTTATTCATAGAGCATGAAGAACTTCAAGGATCAGTACTACCTAGTTATCCCTCTTACTGAGGTGGCTCATGATAACCATTATAATATAGATTTTGAGTCACCTTATTAATGTTCAAACAAGTTCTCCAAGTTATAGCGCCATAACAATTTCTTAGTGGATGATTGGTCTTATGTCTGTAGACTAAATGACTTATCCCATGAAGAAATTTGTATGAAGAGTATATTGGTATCCTTCTTCAAAGATTTAGGCTATATTGACAGTGTTTTTCCTTCGGGAGCGGTGTTAATGAAACAAAAGAAGTGGTCCATAGAGACACAGTTGTTAGTGGAGTTCGTTTCGAATGAGGACATGAAGGTCATCTTCAGCGAGCAAGGTGGAATGTTTCCTCTTTTATCTAGAAATGTTTAGGTGACCATAATTTCTTTGTATTTAATTAATATTTTATTTGCATATAAGATGAAGAGTTATAACATGGTGATCCAAATGAAGAGAAAGTCTAGGGTTGTCGCTTGCCTACGGGTGTTGTTGATGCTAGGCAGGCTTCTGGAGAATCCTATGTTTAAGATCCCTTTCCAATTTGATAATGATTACCCTTCATGTCTTGGTTCAAGTGAAAGTTAAGATTCTTTGGATCGAGTTGTGGTATAAATTAATCTATGTTTGTCGTTGGTCATAATTAGATGAAGCCTTATTACTAAGCATGTATACTCGACATCAGATGCTCCGTCAAGACTTAGGATGGCTTGGCCCTGGTGTTTATGCAACACCGTACGTATCTGTATTGTCTCCTTTTATCGTGGCCCGGCCTAGTCCGTGAAAGGTTAAGAGATTCGATCCTCTATTTTTGAGGAGGATTACACATATTTTTTAGGCGTTGATGGGGTTGTTTGACAACAGAAATTGGTTGAACTAGTGTACCGTACTTGTTAGGTGTCGGTTGTCTTGGCCTTTAATGTTGTTGGGAGAGGAGATATTTTCTTTCCTAACCGTCTTCAGAAGGAGAAGGAAATGCTTCAAAAACATGTAGCGCCCATACTATCCAGCAAGACTAATATGTAGAACAACATACCAAGACAACTACTTTGTTGAATGAGATATGGACTGAAGTGTAGAATTTTGTATACCCCCATTTATTAGCTGAAATAATGCAATCTCTTGTTCAAAAGATGAAGAAGAAATATGAAGCTATATTGTATGCACGATCAGTGTTATCCACGACTGAGGTCGCTCTTGAAAAGGCGAACCAGAAATTGGAATCTTGCCATATGAGGATGGAGGATTTGGAGTTATCTTTGATAAGGCTCAGGCAGGTTGGAAGAAAGCTAAGGATAATTTCAAGATATGCGTCATGAAAACCTTAAGCGATCCAAAGAGTATGTGAAGTTTGTGAAAGATATTTTTTTTGTTCTACAGATTTCTTTTAAAAATCCCTACAACAATGGTGCGAGTGATAAGTGCAAATTGTAGTTATTTTTGTATATACTTTTTGTTGCACTTATCGACTCTTTGTTGTTAATAATCATTGTATAAACCAGACTTTTGTGTAAATATATTTATTTTGTGTTTATTTGTGTTTTTGTGTACATAGTGTACCGTTTGATGTTTTTCCATTCATTTTGTAGGTATTTGTTGTATTTTGGAGCATCGAGGAATAAGGTGTCGAAGGCACGGCTCTAGATGCGCATTTTCAGAATAAAATACCAGTTTTAAGAAGTTTTTCCCAGGAGAGTCCACTTAGGGCGCAAAAGGCCGCTAAGTGCGAGTGAACTCAACGCATTTTGTAGCGCGTTGCTTGTGTTTTGACATTTTGGTAGAAGCTTAGTTTTGTAGCCCGCTTAGTGCAGTTTAGGTCGGTTTAATGTGTAAATATCACGCAGCTCGTTTAGCACGGTGAGCCAGCTAAGCACAGTTTGTTGAGATCAGTTTTGTATAAATAGTTTAGAAACTGATTTTTTAGGTTTTTATCATCTCTTTCCCTCTTGGAGGAGCTCTGATCCAATTCTTTGTAGCTTAGAGGTTCAAGCAACATCATTGGGTGGTTCATCATGTCGATTGGATATGAGTGGTCTCGGATCATGTTGACACTGCGAGAAGTTTCCTATTCATCTCCTTATTCCCTATGTATCATTCCTATGGCGGGTGTTGTATGTATATCTTTACTCTTATTGTATGTATATTTGTTGATCATGGGATTGTGTGAAATCTCTTTTACAAATTAATACCGATGTTTATTCTTAATTTTTGCTTAATCGTAGAGTTTTGGTTTATCGTAGACATATGCTTTCCGAATCTCTTTCTTGAATGAATATTTATTAGGTCCTAGACTCTAGACATTGATTTAGGCTTAATGTTCATGTGGGTATCGGTTATGAAATGCATTCGAGTTATTTGAGTCGGTTAAGAGATTATCGACGAGAGCAATACGGGTGATGTCTCACTTTGCGTTAGAGATAGCCTTAGTGTGAATGATACATGATGGTATTAACAAGTAATTTAGGTTGTGTGCAATTGATATGTAGGTTTAATTATT